TTTTAGTTCAGAATCCTAACTTTCGATATTCAGCTGGAAGCCGAAATTCTGACTGCATGCTTGTCCTCAGCATCTGATGGCATCTCAGAAAATCACTAACATCGATTTCCCACGATTGCCCAAGTAGTTGCTAGGAATAGATTTGCTCTGCCAAATTTGATCGTCACCGAGCACGCCCAAGTGCACACGAAATAGCAAAAAGCTATGATTTATCATATATTCAAAATTTTTCGAAGTAGTCTGTCTTCAAAAATACTGACTGTAGTGGAGCTGAAAACAAAGGCAGTATCGACATCCTCAGACGTTCAAACCAAAATATTTTTTCAAATACTGAAGAGTAATAATAACTTTTACCTGGAATGGATGTGCAGTGCTGAAAGTGAGTATCCCAGTGTAAAGGTATTGCAGAATAGCACGAAATGCTTGCGCAGCATTGGTGATTGCTCCAAGATGTAGCTCAACGCTCGGAATATTTGGTGCCCTTGCGTTATCATTCCCGTCGCATACGCCGTTCAGGATCAGTTCGCGAAGACGCAGTGAAAAAAAGGCCAGCAAAAATTTATTCGCGAGAACATGCTCCTCTGCAAATGAACTGCGCTTAATTCTTTTTCCCGATTTATTCATTGAGGGGCCGCTGGGACGCATTTTGACTGCGCAGCGTTCTGTAGACGATCTAATTTATAACTACTCAGTACAAATGCATGCTCAAATATGTATGTGTACAGACTCAAACACACGTGTACACTTGTACACGAAAAAACGGCCACACCGATTATGCTTTTTATGTGTTTTAGCATACATGCAAATTGCAAAAACGCATATTGGCAAAAGGCTGTGCGTGTAAGTATGTCTGTGTGTTCGCGCTTTTTGTCACTCACTTTCAACTCGAGAACCAGAAAAGCTAGAAAGCTTAAGCTTTGGGATTATGTGCCCATACCGTGAATGATCCTCCGGTTTTAATATTATTACTGGCGCAAACCTGAGTCTTGCATACGGATGCCTTAAAAAATATACAAATTTTTTGGCGGGGAAGCGATCTCAGGACCAGGTGAACTAAGGGGCTGAAACTTTTGGGATATTCTGTGTGCATGTGTGAGCTAAAAATTTCAAATTCAGCCCTCAGATATGCGTGGCTCTCACGTATGAGCACATGGAAGGTTTGACATAGAAGATTTGGCGGGAAAGTTGCTAAGTCGGTAACCAGAAAAGCTGGAAGGCTGAAGTTTTAGAGGATGTTCCCTGTCCAAGTGCAAATTAAGTATTTCAAATTCAGCCTTGAGGTATGCGTAGTTCTTACGTACCGGCACTTAAAGTCTTGACGAAAAAATTTCTCACTGAACAGCTAGGTTACTTTTAAAGAACGATTATTAAATGAAAATTGTGCATTTACTTTATGTAAGATTTATGGTGATTTATGCCATTGACCGCAAAAGGTCAGTTTAAATCAATAACCACTCACGCAGTTAATGACCTGAGCACTTCAAGTCCTATGTAAAAACGTATAATCGAATGGGCCCGCCTGAAGCGTTCCAGCCCGGGTTTGCGTCGTATAATTCAAC